ACTACGACTACGACTACGACTACCTACTACTACGATTACTACTATTTCTGCTTCTATTTCTACTTATACTCCTACGGCGACTAGTACGACGACTACGACTACGACTACTGCTCTGCTATTACGACTACTACTACTACTACTACTACTACTACTGCGACTACGACTACGACTACGACTACGACTACGACGACGACGACGACGACTACTACTACTGCTACTGCTACTACACACTACTACTACTACTGCTACTACTGCTACTAATTATGACGACTACGACGATTAGGACGACGACTACTACTTCTACTAATTGCGACGACTACGACGACGACGGCGACTACTACTACCACTGCTACTGCTGTTCGCTCGCCCTCACCTCTCCCTCACTCCACATTCCGTTGGATAGCTCTGCTATAATCTTTCAAGCAATTTTGGTCCTGCACAAGGGATCACAAGGGTAGGTTCATGCTTTGTACGCCAGCCAAGGCCTGCGACTGTTTCAATAAGGCTTTGTAGTCTTCCATGTGGGTGCTGACCATGCCTTTCGGCCTCTGCGCAACAACCCGCAAAAGGTTTCGCCAAAGGTTCTCCACGGGGTGCCGAGGTGCCGGCACAGCACCAGTTTCCTTTAAAATTGTCTTGATGCGTTTCATGCAAAAGTAGCCTTGGCAATCGGATCTGAAACACATGCACTACATCTGAAGCGCAGCACTGCCATGCATATGCCGTCAACATCGGAAAGATCTCAGTCGCCGCGGGAAGCAATTCCAGACGCGGTTGGCCTTGCCCAAAATGTGCAGTTTCAACGCGACAAAGCTGAAGCATGTTTCACTTGGGTGTCATTGGAATGCTGCAGACCGCCTTTGCATCCAATCAGGGCGCACCAGTTCAGGCCTGAGTACCAGAAAGCATCCAGGGAGGGGGATGCTTTTTGCGAAAGCATACTTTTTTGAATCCATGGTGACACCGCTTCCGTACTGGTATACCAAGGCTCAGGAAGGCACAACTCGCCGGCAAGCTCTACTGCTGCCGGGCTCGAGGAGGACGAGCAACCTTCGACTTTTCATGTAGAGTCTTAGCGTCTTAGCGGGACATGCTCCCTGTCCCGTAACTGGGCAACCCACGAAGCTGGTTCAGTGTCGACAGCGCGGCAACCGCATAGTTGGTACTGCAAGCACGGGGCAACATCAAAACACAGCACCACTTCCGCCGTCACGGTCGATGACACCTGTTGCTGCAATGTCGCTTGGCTAAGGTTGCAGCGCGCCATTTGTTGGGCCGGCCATAGAAGGGTCGAAGGCACGTACGTGATCCTCATAGGCATTCCGAAAAGCCAACTCAGAAGATTGCAGCGGACAAAGCGAGGGCAGCCTGCGCTTCAGCCATGCTCTGCACATCTGGGAAGATGGGATGAAGCCTTGCTGTCACGCATCGAGCAAAGACATGTCTAGGAATCAGGCCACATTCAACCCTGCAGAGAAGCACCGACCGTCTGATTAAGTCTGATGGAGCACCAAGGCTCGCGCGTCAGTGCCTCAAAAAACGAGACCCCGACCTAGCAGCACAGCTCCCGCAGTCGCTGCAAACACAGCCAGATGCCTAGAATGACCTTCTGGCATGCAGCGCTCTCCAAGTTGCCTGGACAGTACTAGGCCACTGACGCACCAGAGGTCTGACGCCGCAAAATGCGTCTCCTCTCAGATGGCACTGCTGTCAAACTGTTTCGGGAAAAGGCCCTTTTGAAAAGGCTATCCCAGCCCTTGAACGTGCCGTAATCGCTTCTCGTCGTCCTCCAAGAGAGCTTCGGGACTTGCGTATGACGGACCTGCGCAAGAAACACTGCCTGGCTGCTAGAAGCAGAATGAAGCAGCTTGGGTCGGCAAACAGCAAGACATGGCAAGACTACGCTCTGTGTGGGCCTGTTTCGTGCTTAACTACAGCACCCACCGAGTTGGGAAGCGCTGCCACGAAGTAGTCTCGCTCTTTCCATGTTAGACAGACGAATCGTGGAAAAGTTCAACACCTGTACACGACATGGCGCTTTGTAAAGCTTGCGCAAGCAGCCAGAGGCAAGGGCTTGTCACGGGCGCGGCCACTTTGGCATGTGGGTTCGGGAAAGGCCTGTACAGTGGCAGCAAGGCTGGCGAAAAATCGAGCCAACACTGGACATTCGCCCTGCGACTCAGCACCCAGCCCAGTCCCTGGAAGCAGCATGGCACTGCCAAGGTCACCAATCTGCCGAAGCATGCGCAAAGACTACTTTCATGCCGATAATCACGACAAGGCGTGAACAGCTGCAGCCCGTCATTTTCATACAAAACTCAATATTTGAAGCGGAGCCTGCAACAGCCGACTGTCTTCGGCGATGAGCAGGTTTCCAGGCTTGATGTCACGGTGAACAACCTTGGACATGCCACATCGTCTGAGGCGGTTTTGCTTGCGCATGGGTGATTCCGAATATTACCACGTGGCCTCAATTCTGGGTGGTAGCCCGCGGCGATGGTAGCATCAGGCAGAAGAGCGTGCACACGGTAGCTCTAGGGTTGCCGCTCCTCGCCAGTGAAGGTATGCCAGCCCATGGAGCGTTTGCACGTACCTTGCAGAAGTTCAAACTCACAGTGCTCACGGGCCCTCGCTCGACTCAACATAGGAGAATCTGAGAAGCCAAGCCAATCTGCAACAAGCTCGACTGAATGCTGTACTTCCTCAGACTCCGCTCCTGGCAGACTGGTCGCTTGAAGTTCGCGTCAGACCGCGTGCACAAGTCCTCGCGCGGCTTCAATCCGGTGTAACAGGCTCCCGCCATCCTGGCAAAAGGCCACGTCTCAAAACGGACACGAGTCGAGCACTTAGCAGAAGCACAAACGACTCTGAAGAAAAGTCGGTGCTTACCAGCAATGGCATCACCACATACCGCCTGAAAATCTGTCAACTAGCATGCTACACGAAGGAAGCCGAGACTGTGAATAAGGCCCCAGCAGCTGCTCAGATCGATTCTCCCAGGTGTCCAACGTAAAGACCACTGTTGGCCAGCCTGGAGTAGAATTCAACACTCGTACTCGGGAACTCCATGTAATTGTCTCTTTATGTTTCTTTTTGGCTGCACGAAGCCGAGGGTGCGCACTGAGCTCGCGCAGAAGCCTCATACAGCAAGCATGTCAGGGCCTAAAACAGACGATACAAAGGGAAGCACGACGACGCAAGCTTCCCCACACCATTTGTACCCATGCAAAATGAAAACACGGTGCGAGCTTCATGCCATCTGAACGACAGATGTCAAAAACGCATCGACTGTGCAGTCAGGCACGATGTACACGTGGTGCGGCAACACAATCGAAAAAGCAGCTGTTGTTCAAAGCTACCAACCGCGTCTGGTTTGCACCTAGGCGTGTCAGTATCTATCCAGCCCGGACATGTCGAAACATCATACGGGCAACTGCAAAATCGGATGATCCTTTCGGTTTCCCGGATTTATCTCCAGACTACAAACCTGGCCTAAATTCTCATAAATCGGTACCGAGAATCTGCATGATAACCGGATGGCGTGTATAGTTCTATCGGGAGATGTCGTGAGCTCTGTGTGACGCCATCGCCCGGAGCATCATGGCGACACTGGAAAGCAGGCAGTGCTACGCAAAACTAAGAAGTGGTCACAAGTGTCAACAGGATCTTCGAAAGCAACCTGAAATAGCGTCATGAATTCGTAGGATCCTAGACATGTCATGCCCGAACAAGTCACAGCCCCTCGAAGGCCAGGAATCGCAAAATTCACGTCTGAATGTCTGAGTTATTCTTCATTTGGACTCCGAGCAATGATGTGATCGGACAGTCACAAATCATTGCTGCACGTGACGAGCTACGAGAAATGCTGTCTCTTGAAGGGACATTGTATTGGCCGGACAATCCGTACTTTCGCGCAAATGTGTTTTCCCCCTTGGGTCGGGGACACAGTCCATGGGAAGGTAGACGCGTACAGGGCGCAGCAGGAAGAAGAGCTCAACGAAGTCCGCAGGAAGGCCAGGACGAATCCATGGCACCTCTGCGGCTACGGTCTCCTGCATGGTGTCGACCGCCAAGGCCACAAGATGTATTCTACTTATGACGACCCGCTCGTCAAGACTACACCTTGGGACAGCTTGCAAGAGGCAACGCGGAAACTTCTTGGAGAGAATTACGATTGGGCGAGCTGGATGATGCATCCGTTGTCTGGCTATGGCTTACAGTTCTTCCTAAAAGCTGTTGAACTCGGAAAGCTCCAGGGCAATTACCTTGTTGAGTTTGTCCAGAAACCGGCTCGCTACACCGGCGGCTATCTTTCTCCCTATGAGAGATACAGGAGCCGTCATCCCAATGAGCTGGCTGGAACGCTCAACGACTTGACCTATGCTGAGGGTCGAGAGTTTGCCCCGAGAGTCTCGGAAATTGGGTTTCGACGATCCCGACTACGTCGAGAAGCTCGCACGGTACACTGCTTTCCTGAAGGAAAGCGGATGTAAACCGCGAGATCAAGTATGTTCGGGACGACTTAGCGCTCCTCATCAGTGTCATCTCCGATGCGTATGGTCAGGATTTCTTTAGCTATTTTCAGAAGAATGTTGACAACACGGAGATCAGGCGAAAATATATGGTGACAGCGACTGAGGAGTATGGGTTGTACGATTGTGCGCTCAGGCAACCTTTCAACGGTCCCTACATTCTCGCCTGCCTCGAGACTGCCCTCAAGTTGAGCGTCGAGAAAGACTTTAAGTCCACGAGCTTGAAGGCCAAGACAGCCCAGGAGTTCGAGGAGTCGTACCGTACGAGGACATTGCGGTGGAGGAATTCTTCGAGAAGCCATCAGGTGGAGGAGATCCCCGAGCCGACGCAGATGGACACCACCCACGCTCCGATGGATACCTCCGGCAACATCGATGACGATTCAGATGCAGCGAACTTACCACAGGGTGAGATGGCTGGCTCGGCTAACAATGGAGACCGACGCTCCAGAAAGCTCTCCACGGGGACAGGAGTCTGGAGTAAAGGTCGAAAAGTCCGAAGGCTCTCCTCAAAGAAAAGGATTCGGATAGCAAAGACGATGTGCACATGGGTGATGCCGAGGAGGCCAAGGACGACGAAACGAAATGGCCAAGGCAGGCTCACCGCTTGGTGAGGGATCCATGCCAAAGATGATGAAGTCCTTCACGATCAAGGCATTGGGCAAACAGAAAGAAAACGTCGTCGATCCGGAGGTGTTCAAGGAGGCTTTCAAGGCAGCTTCCTGTGCGGAGGAAAAGAACGAGAAAGCCTTCGACAACTTGGAACGTGCCACGGAAAAGGAAGGCCTCGAAGATACCGCAGAGTTCAAAGAATTCTGGGACAAACAGGAGCGGACCAGCCCAATGATGTTGCTGGCCGACCAAAATCGTGGTTACAACTTACAACCAGAGTGGACTCCACCACCACGGTATCAGGCACGACCCCGTGGGCCCATAAGCACAAGTTTCACTTCTCTGAGGATGACTTGATGCTGTCAATGTGTGAGATGGATCCCATCTACGACAAGCGGCCCAATCGCATGCATGGAGGTCGTGTTTCGCCCCGGCGACATACGGAGCACAATCCTCAATCGAGTCAGGGAGTTGAGTCGGAGCGGCCGGCCGGCCACAAGGGCAGAACTGATGAACTCAATGCTTCATCACTTCCTGGCGGCTGGTGTGGATGAAGATGAGATCGGGGACTTATCACCGGATAAGATGCCGAGTCCAACTCTTCATTGTGTTGGCTTGTCTGAAGACGGTCCTGTTTCTGTCTATACCAGCAAGACCAAATTCTCCGCACTCATCCTGAATCTGAGGAACCTCTCTCGAGGCCGCAAGCGGCCGGCTCCTTCTGCATATGCCGCTGGTCGGGGTAACCCATCATCATCTCCCACTGTCATACATGATAGTGGAGATTACCCATGGGAATACTCATCCGATCGGTGGCTAAGACAACAGAGGAGAATTCCCCCACTCGGCTGTGTTTGTGTTTTCCACTTGGACAGCAAGATCGCGGCCACGAAGGTTGGTCTGGCTCACGAGGCTTTGGGAACCATGTTTTCTGATTGCTTGTACTATCAGGTCGATTTGATCCGTGGTAACGCCAAGATGGCCTTGTATCGGCCACAGGGCGCAATCAAGAATCCATGGACATCCGGGGTGGCATGTATCAAAGCACCCTTGACTACTTCCTGGAGGCCTGGACGGGCAGCCCAAAGTGTTTCCGAATGTGCCACCCTCGAGGTCAGCACGTTTCGGCAAACAGTCTTTGTCTCCTCAAACAGCACGAAAACCAACTTGGCCGTCCTTACAAGGAGGGCACACGGCCCGACTGGAACACGTTTCCTAGATTGGATCCATTGGTTGCCACTGTCTTGGAGTGGGGCCACTCGACTGACGACGATCAATGGGCTCAAGCTCCTTCTGTTCAGCTGGAATACAAGGTCAGCGTCTCTGAATGGCTTCTGCATTCCACCTCGGCGGCCTACCTCCTTCCAGACCGGGACGACGACGCTCACACTCCTCTCCTCATCGAGGTCCCGCGAACCAATACACTGGTGGGAGGTTGAGAGCGATGAACCGAAACGGTCAAGGAGGCAGCCGACAGACGAAAGGCGAGACAGAAGGCTCGCGGATCTGCCGATCCTACGCAGCCAGCACCTACTGGAACAGGCTCTCCACAGGGAGAGCGAGTTTCTGGTGCGACAGCTTCTGGTTCGCAACGTCCAACCGAACCCACACAACCAACCTCCTGGTGGAAAAGCAAAGTGGCAAAGGAGGCAAGTCCTCCAACGGCAAAGGCAAAGGCAAAGGAAAGAACTGAATGGATTTCGACTCAGAGTCGGAACAACCGGTCTACGGACCAATGCCTCGCGATCCTGTTCGGCCCGATCCTTTCCCACACCTTCAACCTGCTGTCATCTTCGAAGTTCACAACTTGGTTTGGCGATGGGACTCGTGACGGTAACTGGGATCATGGTGCTGATGTGATTAACTAAGTTCTTTCACGGAATGCTTCTCACAGGAGACGGTATCCTTCTTTACCGCCTGCCATTTCAAATGAACATGCTTTTCACAGGAAAAGGTACTTCAGAGAACATATTTGCCCAAAGAACAAATGAGACACTTCTCACTGGAGAAGATACTCTAATCAGATTCATATGCGATTCTCTCGAGCCGCAATTGCCACTGCTGCATCAAGTGGAGCTAAGCTCTACATTTCCGTGCGGTAAGCCTTCCATCTGGAGAGGGAACTGAACATGTGGGCAATATTTCAATCAAGCGTTTTAACCGAAGATCCGTTTGAGCTTTGTGTGCGTGTTCTGCTCAGTCTCCAGGCTGAGGATGTACAGATTTAGTTTTGTAGCTCAATGTGTTACTCCGCTCTTAATTCGCTTGGGCATTAACAGGCAATGTAGGATACCGACTTCACGGCCATGCAGCTCTACATGTTTTACATTTGTGTGGTTAAAACACTGCCGGTTACACATCCAGGTGCCTGTCTGCTTCACGTATCACCTGCATGTATCCGTGCCTGTTGCTCAAGGTTCTAGCAGAGTACTGATCTGCAGCTGTGCGCCTGTAGCAAAAATAGACACCTGCGTTTGCCTGTGTTCCTGTACGCTCTGCGAGGGATATATATATATATATATATGTATGTATGTATGTATGTATGTATGTATGTATGTATATATAGCCACCGTCTACGCACACAGGAGCTTTCGCGGAGTCTTTTGTGCAGCTTTCGCGCGACGTTCGTAGCACAGGTTTCAATGAGGAATCAAAGCACAGAGCCGAAAAATTCACTAGTTCTACAAGTTGAGAGGCCTGTCAATCTTGGACGCCTGCGCAGCATCGCCGGTGTTCGCCCATTTTTGTGCCGAGTTCTTCATATCTTTTCTTGGCAATCCCCCCTCCCCAAGCAGAGCTGATGTCACCCCTGCTGATTTGTTTTGTTGCACAAAACCCCGACGGCCCCGTTCATGCCGCAAGTGCCCAATCCCTAGCGGTCATACGCACCAGGTCATGCCACCTCTCTCGAACTACCCAACCGTGCAGGTTATACAGCTTGCAATGACAAGAATCAATGATGGCCCTCAGCTGGAGGCTCTATGAAACGCATGCACACAGACAGCCATGCAATCAACAACTTGGAAAAGAAGATCAAAGAAGACAGATGGCGTTTCTCCTGCGCTTCATGACCCAAGTTGGTCACCTCAGTTCCCGTTCGATCTCTTCATTGGCATTCTTGAGACGTCGCCTCAGCCCAGGAAATTCAGGCAGCGCTGTGCTGCGCATCGCTGTGCCACGCTCCCAAGCTTGGGGCATGTTGATCTCCTTCAAGGCTATGGTTTCGTTATCACGTAGCCGCTTGGCCTTCGGACGTGCGCTGCAGCTTTGTGGAGGGGCTGTCGCGCTTCTGAGCCTGCGGCCTTGTGAACACAAGCCGTGGCGCCACGGCCCAGTATGTCCTCGCAGTCCCGTACAATGTGCTGCTCGCCACATCTGGCACCCCTGCCGCACTCCAAGATGGCCTTCGAAACAGCTCTGCATTTGCATTCGAAACAACTTACGTTCCATATGATGCCACCGACGCCATCTGCGTGTATGGCCAAACCCCGGCAATCCGAACATGCGGCTGACCCGACCAACCACCCCACCGCTGCCACAGCACCAGCACCCGCAGCGTCGTCACCGCCGCCGCCACCGCCACCATGTAACCCCGTCTCCCTCACCAAAAATCACCAACCGCGCTGTAAACCCGAGCAGACCTTCAAAACTGAGCCCACACATGAGGTGCTCGAAGGAGAAATGTGTGACCAATCAACTTGAACATACAACGCTGTTCTGTGACTGAGAAAGCATCCATTCCACTGAAGGCCACTTGCGTCAGTCCAGCAGCAGATATTCTTCCAATCTGCGCTGCACGGCTTCCGACACGACCTGATCTGAATTGATGGCATATTCACGGAAGGCAAACCATTTCTGCTTCTGACCTCAACGCTGAAACTGCAAGACTTTCCGCTGAAGAGTTGGGTACCAGAATCTGCTGTGTCTTGGGAGAGGAATCCCGATAGATTGCGCAGGAGCAGAAGGAGCGACAGCAGTAGCAGCAGGAGGAGCGAGTGGTTGGCAGTCCAGCGCAGCAGCTGCTGCAGCCGAGCAGACAGATGCCCGCTGTACTTCAATATGCTCCTGTTACTACGGTCCCCGTGTCTTAGTGTGAACACCACCATCGAGGCCCTGGCTTTGGACAAGCTGTCGAGCGAAAGAGGATGGATAAGATAGTCGCATATGCCTGCATCTGCCCGGCATTTGCCCTGCATCTGCAACTAATGCCGGTCACTGAAATATGGAAACTCACAAGTTGCCTTTGGCTCGAAGCTTCTCACGGATCTCTCCTTCGCCTGATGCCAGTAGCTGGCGGCCTCGGGAAACAACGTCAAAGCTAACATAGGTCTTGCCTTGCTTCTGGCATTCCTTGCTTGAGACTGTTGCCAACAACAGCCTACTGGGGGCGAAGCCGACCTCCTCAAATTCGTCTGCCTCGCCACTTTGAATAGAACTGGATTTGGTGATGCCGTGTTCGGACACGTTTCTCGATATGAAACGAGAAAGATGTCCATGCCCCCCTTGAAATTGGAACATGACGCAGGAAGCTTTTCCGCAGGGGCCTCGGTGATCAAAACGACGTACACGCCTTGTTGCTGCCATTCTTCTGGAAGGCCTGAGCTCCGGAGGACGAGCCGAGGCATGTCCCTAGAGCGCCATGTCGCTTCAATTTGGCCTCGCGAGAGCCAAGCCATGCCCAGGAAGACGATCTGAGTTGGCCTGGAGACTGCTATAGTGACTGCCGAGTCGGAAGTACCACACTAAGCTTGACAAGGCCTTTCAATCATCACATTTCCAGCACCTCTACCAGTTGTGCACAATGCCTCGACATGACAGGGCATGGTAAACACGGGCAAACAACCATTTTTTTTTGCTCTGGGCATCTCTGGGCCCCAGGCTCTGCATCGCCAGTCCGGGAGTTTGTCGCCAGGGCGGCCTTCAAGTAAGTCCTGCTGAGGTACAACTGCTGCCAGGCAAGCAGCTGAGTTGACACGAAGCATTCTCAGCGTCTGGCAGCCCCACCTGGAAAACAATTAATTATGCAGGCCTCACATCCCCTCGTTGCCGGCACTGTCTTGATATCGCCATGCCATATCCTAAATGTCAACGACAGAGCTCTACTGCATCGAGCATCATGCATTCCAGTAAACATCATCAGATCTTAGATTCAAGAACCTGGCAAGCAGAACACTGCATATCATCAAGCTACAACATCCCAATTTGATGGCAAGGCTGATGGGTTCTGGAACATCGACTTTTAAGGTTTTGGTGTCCCAGACGATGACAGGGATTACCTGTTTCCCCACCTCGAAATCCCCTCCCCAGTGACCCACCCCCCTTCAAATTGGAGTTCGCCAGCCCCCCTCCCCCGCCCCTCAGCAAGACAGGCTAGCTTACATCATTCATGAAGTTGATGCCAACAATTTTGGGGTACTTTGTTGCAAAGCTTGACTCCCCGTTCCCCTTCAACATATGGGAGGTTGTAGTGAGAAGTGTAATACGATTTTTAAAGTAACCTCTATAGGATAATGCCGGGAATGTGCCACGTTTCGCGCGGGATTGTTGCTCAGAGCCTCGGCATGGAACCAAATACGACATTAAAAATGCACTCTGTCACGCCAAACCTCACCTGTGTGACGTACCTGTTGCTTTCCGAAACACTGCACCCGCTTCAAGTACAGCCGGGCCGAGGCAAACGACACGAAGCGTTTAGAATGCTGAAGCCTTGGAGCAGCGGGACTCCACGAGTGATGGCTTCGGAATTCCGAAAGCTTGCCCAAACAGGTCGGTGATGCGAGTCGATACCATGCTGTGAGCAGAGCCGCGCGAAACCAGAGAAACAACACGCTGGATGGTCCCCTGCGAGGCCTGCAACATTGCGACAGTTCATCCGTCAGGCTTTGCTCGATACAAACCAATACAAGCCTCGGCTAAGGCTTCCATTGTTCGCGAGAAACTGTTGAAGGTCTGGCACGGATACCTTGGAAAACCCTTGCAGGCACGGGCATCCCGACCAAACAGCAACCGCACATATTGCCAGAAAAGTTACGACAGGATCCTGCACAGCTCTTCTGCTTCATCTCTTAATTTCTGTCGCTTTTCCACCTGCATGTAGTTCGTGATCCAATCTGAGGCATGAACATTGTTCTTAGATCTACGCGATGCAGAGGTAAACTCTGCCGGCAGCACCACAAAAATCTCAGCTGGTAGCTGTGTGTCCTCTGAACCTGCACCCAGCTTGGGATTGCAAAGTGTCCGGCTTGCAAGGGTTAACCAGCGACTACTCTGCGCCTCGCTCACGCCGCACAATCTTCCGAAATCCACGCAACAATTCTCTTTCTTCCTCCTTGACCTGTCAAAAACTGGCGAAACGTCTTGTGAACGCGCCGGCAGTTCTTGGACTTCTTGGACGAACGCAGTCAGCTTCCTCATTTGGAGGAAGCTTCCTTCAGATCTGTTCTTGGGGTGGCAGTGGTTTAGGAATGTGGAGTTTGTGAGGAGCATGTAACGGATGGCGTGCAAGATTTGATGGACGTCGTGTGGTTCGTGGTTCGCAGGCTCGACCCAATGTCACGGCAAGTAATCTTCATTTAGAACAGCTGTAACGCATGAAAGAAGGCTTGCAAGTCAATTCAGCGATAGCAAGAGTACTGGAAAACAGTGGGCGGGAGGGTCTTCAACAGCGGCAGGCACCAAGTGAACATGTCTGTCCTCTTACCTCGCCGCTGCTTCCGAACTGCTCCGTCTTACATCCGGCTCAGGATAACGTATGGAGTGTCTCGGCCCTTTGGCCGTCTCGGCCATCTGGCGCTGCTACTCACGTAGCACAACTCCAACCACCTGACCCGTCCAACAGCCAAGAGACAGCCCAAAGGCATAGCAGCTGGTTCGCTGGGAAACAATGCTACGCCTAGCCAGCCTCGGCACTCAACATGGGACAACTGACTCGGCGAGACATCTTGAAGACAGTAGGCGAGGGTAGTCTGGATTTACAACCTCAGCGCACACTGGATGTCAGCGATGGGATCGCCTTGCCAATAGGACGCGACGGCAACTCCGCCATGGAGACGGCCAGGGGTAAGCTTTAGCCTAACAGGGACCCCAAGCCAGCTCAGCAAGCGGTAGACACCCGACCAGGGAACGGGTGCCCCGAAAATGTCTCGCCCTTACACATGGACGACAGAAATTGCTAAAGGACTCCTTGCATATCTATAGCCACATGTTGGGCTCGAGTGTTCGACGCTACCTCGAACCGTACATCTCCTTTCTTCGAGGTGCGGTCCGGACTGCAGCACGGACGTCTTCTGCTATGAACGTCCCGAACGACGACGAAATCTGTTCGGGGGCGGGCAGCGGGCAATTGCACAAGCTATTGGGGCAGTTGGGTGTAGTAGCAATGGTACACAAGTGGTGTTGGTGGGCCGTGGCCGTGGCCTGGTGGTGGTGGTCGCTGTGGCGGTGGCGGTGGTAGCGGCGGTGGTCGTGGGCAGCTGGCTTTTGGTGGGTGGTAGTGGTAGTGGCAGCCGCAATCGAACTCCTAGTGGTAGTGAAAGTGGTATTGGCACTCGCGGTGGCAATCGTGGTGGGGGCCCGGAGTAGCAGTCACACTGGCACGTTGTAGCAGCAGTAAGTGCAACTTTAATGCTAGCCGTCGAAAAGTATTCGTAGTGCCAATGGATCTGTTATCACTCGTGGTCGTCGTCGTAGCCGTAGTACATCGTCGTCGTTGCAGCAGCAGCAGCAGGAGGAGGAGGAGTAGTAGTAGTAGCAGTAGTAGCAGTAGCAGTAGTAATAGTAGTAGTAGTAGTAGTAGTTGAATAAATAATAGTAATCGTAGTAATAGTACTAGTAGGAGTATTTGTAGTAGTAGCAGTAGCAGTAGCAGTAGCAGTGGCCCTAGTACCAGTACTAGCAGTAGTAGTAGTAGTAGTAGTAGTAGTAGTAGTAGTAGCAGGAGGGCGGAGGGTTGGTTGGCGACGCCAGTGTTTTCCTCATCTGAGTGTGTTAGCCGTCGAGTTTTAAGCTGTTTTACTT